GCTGTGCATAAGGTCACTCTGGGTCGGTACCACTCGATGGCACCTAACTATAACAACAACAACATACCCTAGGTGAATGGGCTCCTATCACTATATTAGCCAACAGTTTATGCCTTGGTAAATTAGCAACTTCGTGGACCCTTTGTTCCCTTATTCCTGAAGATAGACTCGCTTGAGAATTATTCCTCACAATCTTTCTCCTAGAGTGACTGGTGGGTTTAAACTCCTGGCCATTCTTTTTGCAGCTCAATACTTAACCCACATTGTTGTTAAGTGCAGTCAAGTCAGTTCGAACACACAGCAACCCTGTATAGGGTTTCCAAGGAGCAGCTTGTGAGCTTGAACTGCCAACCTTGACGTTCAAACCAACTTTGCAGGCCAGCGCCTTAACCCACAGCTCCACACCAGTACTCTTTTACCAACATAGTTCACAATAATGGTGATGCTGTGGGTTATTTGTTGGACTGTGGACCGAAACATCTGCGGTTCAAACACGCCAGCCACTCCTCAGGAGAACCTGAGGCTGTCTCTCCCATGAAGATTCACAGTGTAGGAAGCCCTATATAGATTGGATCACTATTTGTTGGAATTTAACTTAGTGACAGTGGGTTTTGTTTTTCGTTTTGGGTGATACAAACAATTAATGAGCTTGGTTGGCTACTAACAGAAAAGTTGGAGATTCAAATTCACCCAAAGAAGCCTCAAAAGAAAGTCCCAAAGAGCAAGTTCTAAATGATAAGCTGTGGAAAGTTCTATTGGGCAGTTTTACTCTGACATACATGAGGTCATAATGAGTCAAAATTCACTCCATGATAACAAAATTACTTACAAAGTGCTATAATACTATGGGGTTCTGGAATCGGCACAAGGTTGGCAGTTCAAACTCAACAGCCACTCCTTGGAAATTCTATACAGCATTGCTATGAGTCAGAACTGACTTGACGGCACTTGACAATAGCAACATAGGTACTATGTTGGTATCTTTGTTTTACTGAGGAAGAAACTGAGGTTCAGAGAGGTTAAAGCAGCTTGTCCAAAGCCATAGAGCCCAAGTAAGCTGCTGAGCTAGATTTGATGGCAGGTCTTCTGGCCCAGAATACATGTCCTCAAACACTTACCTATAGTGTCACAGAAATGGCTAAGTAGATATTTTGTGAGTTGTCCAGGAAATCTAGCCATCACTTATAAGTTATTTCTATGGTAAAGTAAATTTTGAGTTCCAAGCTTCTGACTCATAAAGAAATTTTTAAAGTACATTTTAATTTAGGAAACTGTCTGGGACCTCCTTGCCCTGGAAGAAAGCTGCAAGCATTGGTGATATACCATTTAAGGACACCGTAATTCTGTGTAAAAAGCACTATAATATTAATTACCATATGCTAAGTTCTTGGATCCTCCTTTTTTTGCAGCATTCCACATCTTATTAGTTCATGCTGCTAACAAAATTAATGACTTAATGTTACTTTTAAAAGCAAAGCAAAATCCATTTATAAGAGAACTATTCTTTAGGAATGAAGCCTGCTGGCACAACAGTTAAGTATTCAGCTGCTAACTGAAATCTTGGTGATTTGAACCCACCCAGTTGCTTTGTGGGAGAAAGACCTGGGGATCTACTTCCAAAAATATTACAGCCAAAAAAAGCCTCACCAGAAACTTATGGCGAAGTTCTACTCTATCACATGGAGTCTCTATGACAGCACCTAACAACAACAACATTCTTTAGGAGAAAAAAAGTCTTTCTTTCTTTTTTTTTTTTTTTTTTAAAGAACGTTATACCTGTTCCCTTGCTCTTGCTCCCTTAAGAAAATGGCCAGGTCTTAACCTTTATCCTGTGGGGTGGTAACTGCTTCTCAGAAGCTATTCAACAGTGTTTTCTAATTAAGCATTTTATAGACAGTAGTGGAGATGCACACACAGTGATAAAGACACAGAGAGAGCGAGAATGGATGGGAACAAGGACAAGAGAGAGAAAGAACAAGACTCCTGCAACATATTTTAGAGATTTAGGTGAAATTTTAGAGACTGTTCTCTAACACTGTTGTTGTTTTTAAGTGCAATCAAGTCGGTTCTGACTCATAGCTACCCTGTTTGGAGTTTCTGAGGAGCGGCTAGTGGGTTTGAATGCCCGACCTTGCAGTCCAGAGTGCTTATCCTTCAGCACCACACCAAGACTCCTTGTCCTGAGACCAGGTTTTAAAAAACACTTTTACTTTCTTTAGACTTATCTTGAGTGTTGTGTCTCATGTTTGTCTCATTTGAACATAACCTGCCTTTAACAGGTTTCTTGAGTATTAACTTTTGTTCCCCAAAGGAGTAATGGATTTTGAATATGTATTAGGCAAATACTTATTTCATTAGTGAACCAGCTAACAACACACATATATACAATGATGGACCTGCTTTTACAAAAGAAGACAGAAAATAAATAAATAAATACTACCTTATACCAGGAAGGCTAGCAATCTCTTATCAACCTTCTAAGAACCTACTTGCATTAGATTTCCTCTCTTCTGAGTTTTCTTCAGTCCCAGCCATGCAATTGCTTTGAGCAAAAATGTTAGTAGACTCTGGATGAGCAATGATCTCAGCCCAGGAGGACTGGGTGTGTAAGAGCAAATCTTGACAACTCCAGTGTTCCTATAGTGCTTCTATCCAAGCCCCATTCAAATAGCTCATGAACTTGGCAATATAATTATAAAACTGTAGACTTCACGATTTCATTCAACGAACACTTAATGAGCCTGTACTTGAGGTACTGGACTAAATGGAAAAGACAAAAAGGTGAATTCCAAAGTATCACAATATTAATTAAGAAGACCCCTAATCCCACCTTTAAAGTCTTCACAATCTAGAGGGGAGACAGGTACATAATTAATTTCAATATAGTGTGCTCAGTGGTAATATCCTGGGTATAGACCAAGGGTTGTGGGAACTTCGCTGAGATGTTGCAAGATTGTCAGATTAGAGGGCACCTAGGATTAGGGAAAAGTACAAGCTTTAGGGAAAGGAAATTTGAATGATAGGAATCCCATGAATAAAGGTGAGGAAATAAGAAAGTGTCTAGAATGTCAGAGGATTAATGAGACGTTCCCGGTAACTGGAATTCGGATGTGGATGTGGGAGGTGGGAGGAGAGACTGAAAAATAGGGTCATATCACACAGTGATTCATATGCCATATTTGGATTTTAACCTGAAAGCAATGCAAAGCCACCAGAGATATTTATACATTTGAAAATCATGACCAGACTTGCTTTGGGCATGATCTTTCTAGTAGCATAGAGAATGAAATGGTGTGAGGAGAGACCAGTTGCAGGAAGACTAAACAGGCAGGAGGATGATGGGAAGCTGAACTAAGGCAGTGCTATCTGGCTGGAGAAAAACAGTCCTGCTTCAGAGATGCAATTGACACAGTCTGGTAACTTACACTGTAAACATGGAGTTGTGTGATAAGCACTATACTGTTAACCTCAAGGTTGGCGGTTCAAACCCACTTGCCGCTCCTTGGAAACCCCATACAAGGTCTACGTGAGTCAGAACCCAAGGCACTTACCAACAAGGACAGTATAACTAAGGTGTCCTGGTGTGGCGCTGTAGGATAAGCACTGGACTGCTAGCCAAAAGAAATCATATACAGGATCACTATTGATCAGAACCAAAACCAATTTAAAGGTACTTTAAATTAAATTTAAATCAACAGCAACAAAACATAACTAAAGGATTTAACAACTGTAAAGCACTAGACATTATTTACTTACTTCCTGTTATATAATTGTTTTCTTTTTTAATCATTGCTTTCTTAAGCACATACATTGTCAACTTAATAAAATACACAATATTTTATTTGTTTTATAAGAATTGAATTCCAAAGGGATGCATTTCATTATGTGTTTTGCTTAACTTTGGAAATAATCATTCCTCAAAACAAACAAAAAACACAGTATGATTGGATACAGTTAAAATGAATATTTAATCTAATTATAGCATGTGTGGTATTTTTGTGATTCTTTCAAGTTCAACTTGCTGGAAAGTTGCTTATTTGAAGCTATAGAATGTCTTGGGGAATATATTTGCCTGGATCTGTTCTGTGTTTTAAACAACCTATCTCTCTAGGCCTGTTTCCTTATTTTAACTTCTTATAAAAAAATCTGTGACTCTTTCCTCTCAGAATAATGGCTGCCCTCAATTAAAATTATTATTACTATTAGTTTAGTTTTAAAAGGAACAAATTTTGCTGAAAGATACTTTTTGGGAGTATGTTTACTATACACATCTTTTTCTATTGCTGTTGAGACTCATTACAAGAACCACAGCATCATGTGCTTTTAAAACGTTACCATTCTAGGGCACAAAAGATATATCCTTAACCCTTTGTAGGTTCAGCTAAATCTTGAATTGAATAAAAAGAACAAGTAATGCTTGTTCAGAGAAATTTGGTGAGTTAAATGGAGTAAAAGTGCAGAAAAATGAATGACATACAAGTGAATTCTCTTTTCTCTCCCTTAGGAAACTTGTATCTGTAAGTAGAAACAGAGCTGAGGATCTCCTAGAGAAAAAGGTGAGTGGAGAAGGCAAGTTTCCCTGATTTCTTTACTCCCAACCTGCTGGGCTGATTTCTTCTCTTGCTCTCCCCATCTAATAAAGAATTGATTCCCCCACCCCCACCCTTCTTTCCTTCCCTCTCTCTCTCTCCCGGAGTAACGAAGCTGTCCTAGCAAGTGATGCTGTCGGAGGCAGGAGACGGACACGGAGGAGACACTGCCGCCGCCGTGGGGCCTGAGAGCCTTTCCCAGCACCAGCCTCGGCCCCGGGCTTCCTGCACGCAGCCACAGCCCCGGCTGCTCCCACGGTTGGATGGTGAGCGTCGGCGGCGGCTTGGCTTCGGCTCCCGCCTCTAGCTGCTCCGTCGCGGGCCCGCCACCCTCGCCTCCTCCCCTCTTGCTCGGCTCTACCGGAGACTGCGGGAGCGGCGGGAGGTGGGCAAGGGGCGCAGCGAGAAGACAGAGCAGCTGCGGCCAAGGGAGAGGCCGGCAGCCAGCATCCCGGCGCTCTGACCACTACTGGTGCGATGTCCACCAAGGTCAGGAAGTGCAAGGAACAAGCGAGGGTGACCTTCCCCGTGCCCGAAGAGGAGGAAGAAGAGGAGGAGGGCGAGGACAGGAGTGCGGAGCCGCATCGCCGCCGCCGGAGCTGGAAGGGAGTCAACGGGGGGCTCGAGCCGCGCTCGGCGGTCTCCCAGCAGACGCCGCCCGGCTATTGCCCGCCTCCCCTCTCCCCAGGACCCGACATGTGAGTACCCGGCGGGCCACTGGCCCGCTCCGCGACGTGCCGGGGGGGCCCCACACCCCAGGTTGCACGACTCCGCAGTTCGACGCGGGTTGACTTCGCTGGGACCGACCTCCGCTGGAGGCGCGCTCCTGCAGTCCTGCCTCGTGGAGGGACTTGTCCGCGAGCTGTGTGCCGGCTCCAACATACTGGACAGACTCATAGACGGACGCCTGATACCCATCCCATCCCAGCAAGCAGTCACTCCTTCCCATACAGCCAAAGACACGCATAGACTATTACCTTCAAAAAACCGACCCCAGGGTCCCCGAGCCCACCCGGAACCCCTGGCAGGAGATGGGGTGCACTGATGCAGGCGCGCATTTGATTCCTTGCGTCCCAGCGTGGAACCACCCTGAAACTAGTGCCCCACGGACGCTACCACCCGTCGGGGGCGGATGCAAGGGCAGGGGAGCGGGAAGAAAGGAAGGGACGGGACGTATTGCGATGCAGGGTTTGGGATAAAGATTTGACCGGATGCCTCCCCTCCTTGCGATCCATTTACGTTTGAGGAAAATATGGAGTTAAAGGCTCCACATATTCCCTACGGGCGGGAGTGGGCGCAGGGCAGCCGCGGGAGCCGCTTTTGAGATAACTTTCTCTGTAGTTCCCAGGCGGCTCAGGGTCAACAGCTGTTTCTTCTTTAAAGAGGTAGAGGTTGGCCTTCTGGTGTTTGTTGAGAAAGATCAACTTTTCTTAAGTTCCAAATATTTGAGGCAGCCTTTAATCAGTTACGAGAAGCAGAGAGGGTAAGGAAAAGGATGATTAGTTAATCAGGGTGACATACTCCATATTTCACTTGTCACTACCCTGGGCGTGCCGCGGGGTTTACTGTCTATTTTAGGAAGAACGCCCAGCCCTAGGTAGAGAACTTGGGGTCTGACGGTGGTGGGAGGCACTAACTAGCAAGGTTGGGACGGAGGGTCTGAAGCGCCCCCTGCTGCCCACAACCAGGGTATGCGGAAGCAGGAGCGACCCTGAACTCTCTCTAGTTAGCTTGGCTGGCTCTGAGTGTCACCAGGCCGGACTAGATTTGCCTGTAGAAAACAGAAACTGGTGACTTACTAGATTGCTTAGAGATTTCTGATTGTAAATGAGCGACTCATCCCGACAGGATGCTGTTCAGTGATTGCTAAAGATTAGCCTGGAGTAGAAATTGCCCAGGAAATGGAAGGAAGTTATTAAAGCGCTACCAGTTTCCCATCTCCCTTAAGGTTTTAAGACTTGTTCATTTTTCCTTTATCAAATTGATTTTTATAGCCTAGCTCAACATGCATATATAACCTTGATTTTTTTAAAGCTTTTTTTTCCCCTTTTACTTTGAATCCGGACTAAACAGTGTACTAAACCAAAACCATTGACGTCCTGGAGAGTTCTGAATCACAAGGACCCTATAGAACAGAGTAGAATTGCCCCCATAGAGTGTCCAAAGCTGTAAATCTTGATGGAAGCAGACTGCTATGTCTTCAAAACAACTGCAAGTAGTTTCTAACTACTTACCTATTGCTTGGCAAATCAGTGTTTAACCACCATGCCACCAAGGTTCCTTCAGTGATAACACTCTTTACTGAGAAAGTAGGGCAGAGCAGAGATTATTATGCCTTCTGAAGTTTGAGGTCAATCAATTACATAAAACGCTGGGGCCTATTCTATTGTAGACTTGCTATCTAACTGCCAATAGGACAACTTTCCTATCTAGTTGATGCTTCTACATACTTCAACAAGTAAATATTGTGATGTATTATTAGTAAAGTGATTGATAAGAAGATCCAGTCACTTTCAGGAACTAAAAATCAATAAGCATTTCTTCTGGAGTGAGGGCAATAAGCTCTGTGTTTTAGGTCTTTCCTTTGACATCACAAACTAGTTGGATATCTGCAGCAGAGATTAGCTCTTTATTCCACCTCTGAGTCAAATATATCAAATTTGTTGCCTTGGATTGTATAATGACCCTGTAGGACAGAGTACAACTGCCCCAATTACAAAAGCTGACTGTCACATTTTTCTCATGTGGAACAGCTGGTGGGTTCTAGGCAATGACCTTTCAGTTAGCAGCTATGTATTTAACCACTGTATCACCAGAGCTCTGGAATCGATTATTGCTGTTGTCGTTAAGTGCCACTGAGTTGGTTCCAACTCATGGCCACCCTGTATAGGGTTTCCAAGGAACGGCTGGTGGATTTGAACCACTGACCTTGTGATGAGCAATGCAGTGCTTATCCTGCAGCACTATGTTGTTATTGTTATGTGCCATCAAGTCTGTTTCAACTCATAGCGATCCTGTGCACAACAGAATGAAACACTGCCAGGTCCTGTGCCAAGCCACTGTTTAGTAGCTCAGAAAGTGACTGCAACAGCCTTAGAATGGAATAAAAAATGGATACTGAATCTATCAAAGCCCCAGGATCATTTTCAGTAGGTAGAATAGGATAACTAAATTTAAAATTCAAGCAGGATGCTGAGGTTACAATTCCACTTCTACCAGAAAGGTTCCAAGGATAATCCTGTTTGCTCATCTCTCTGCTCCATGTTCTAGCATTCCATTTGCAAATTTTAAGATAACAGACTTAGAAAATGTGTCATCTGTTATATCAGTAAAAATAATTTTTTAATCCTTTAATGGAGCTTTCCATTCAGTCATTGATTCAAACCAAGACTTCTTTTATTGCAGTTGTTTGCCATTCTAGGGCCAAATAATATGTCAACAGGGATACAACCTCATGCTTGAAAAAAAAAAAAAAAAAGTTATAAAATATATCTGATAAACTCCAGAAAGGCATTTAAAAGTAGTTTTTGTGAGTCTCACTTCAAAGACATATGTTGACCCTTTGTGCAAAATACAGGCTAGGTACAGAAAGCTTTCAAAGATAAATATGACAAATTTCCTATATTCAAAGTAAAAAAAAAAAAAAAAAAAAATCCTGTACTTATAATCTTGTGAGGAGGGAATGAGACTGAGACCAGGCATGATCAATTATAGTATAAATAAGAGTAAATAAGTACCATAAAAAACATACAAAGATAGAAATATGGAGGGTCAAGGGTGAAAAAGGGAAGGACATTATTAAGTTGTAGAGAAATCAGAAATAGTTATGGTTCTTGAAGAATAGGAGAAGTGATAAGACAGGGTGGGTAATTAATTCAAACCTCCATTACCCCCCCCCCCAAACTCCCTTTCACATTTGGAGAATAGTAGTTGCGTTTAGTTGGAATATGATAGAGTATGAATTGAGGAGCCGTGAGATTTGACTGAATGTATATGTTTGGGGCACTAATGTATATACCAAGAGGAGGCAACTTATTATTTTAAAGCAGCAGCAATTTGATCAAGGCCACCCTGACAGCATGATGAATTGAAGAGGCAATTGATAGATGGTGAAGAAACACCTTAGGAGGCTATTGTAGTTGTCCAGAGGGAGATGAGGATCAGTAATAGTGTAATGCCAGTGGGATGGAAAGGGAGAGACATTGGAAGAGAGACTACGCAAATAGAATCTGTGTCATTTTGCAACTCACTTCTCAGGAGGGGTTTAAAGAGAAAATGGAGTCAGAGATGACTTGCTGAGTTTCACCTGGATAACTGGCATTGTTGATACAATTATTGAAAAGAAAAGAGCAAGAAAGAGGATCTGATTTTTCAGATAATTCTAATAGAGGTATCAATTAGGAAGATGGTGCCAAGCAAGTTAAGAACTTCGGGGTCATTTGGGAATCTGCTGTTTGGTGAAAATTGTTATGGGTTGTATGAATATATGAGATTGCCCAAAGGAGCATAAAGAAAGAAACAAAAGATACCAAGGATAGTTCTCTTTGAGAAAAAAAAATGTCTGTTTCGAGGGAGAGAGAGAAAGCGTTGCAAGAAAAGGACAAAGATGGAGGAACCATAATAGTGCTAAGTTAGAGCTACTTAGGGACCAACTTTCAAGAAAAGGTAAGAATTGGCACACTATTGGTAAATACCCAGGAAGTCAAAAGAGAAATTTGAGTCTATGTTTTAGCTAGAAGAATCAGAGATGTGTGGACAAAATCATTAGATTTTTCAGCAATGCTACCTTAGACAGAAAATCTCTTAGGAGAGAGAATAAATTTTTTTTCCCAGAGGAATTGCTGTCAAAAATTAATCATCATATGCAAGGATGGTTCAACATTAGAAAAACGATCAACGTTATCCACCATATAAATAAGAAAAAAAGAAAAGAACCACATGATCATATCGATTGATGCAGAAAAG